CGGCCGGTGCCCGCGGCCGGGCGCTGCCCGGGACGGAGCGCGGAGTGCCGCGGCCCGGCACTGCGCTCCCGCGGCCTGTTCCCAGTTCCTGGCCACCTCCGTGACCTGACCCATAGAGCTCCTGGGGCTGCCGGGCCGGGGCTTGGGGAGCTGCTCCCAGAGCAGCCCATGACCACACTTGGTGGTATCGCAGCGGGAAAGCTCAACAGACCAGGCTGTGGAACAGGGATTTTTGGAATTCACTTAAGTTAGCAAAATGAATTAAGCATTTATATTCGAGCTTGTAGAGTTATGTGTTGAATTTTAACCTTTTACTTAAGAAACCTCTGCCAAGGTACAAAAGGGCATAAGAAAATGCAAATTATGAAGCTTCTTGCATAAAGAACAATAACAAAAAGGACTGAAAATACAAAGAATCTAGATAAAGAGGCTCCTGTCTCCAAACTTATCAAGAGTGACAGATGGTACTCAGATAAGCACCAAAAGACTGAAAGCACATATGCAGAGAAGAGTTCAAAAGTTCAGCCTTGAGGAAGACCTCGATCTTCAGCCTCAGAGACCACCAGAGACCTGGCAGGACCACCACAGCAAACCACACATGCATAGAAGGGCATGGACCTATATTGCACGAGAGGCAAGGACAGGCGAAAGCAGGGGTTGACTATGCATAAAAAAAGTTTTTAATGTACTATATATGGAACACCTTTGTGAATAAAGGTTTGGGTCACACCAAGGCTCAGTGCACAAGTCTTGGAGAGCAATCTCACTTGTGCCAAGCACTGGCAATACATACCCACTTCATAACTACCCCAGGTTGTGGAGTCTATTTATTTATTCCACGTATCGCTTCGGCTGCACCTTCAAGGAATGGCTCCCTCCATGCTCTGGCATAGCTAGCGAGACACAACAGACAGAAGCCCAAGGGGAACGGAGAAGGCTGCCAGCAGGACCTGCTGTCTCCTTCCCTTTAGGCTAAGGACAGAGCGAGACGTAGACGAGGGTGGCCACAATCATGCCGATGCTGAAGAGCACCGTGAGGACGTGTGGCGCGGCGCTGGGGCGGGCAGGGCGGCGGCTGGCCCGCGGCTGCAGGG